TGCGGGGCGGCTGTGGCTAAGTGATTAGAGCAGTCGTACTCCAATGCAAAAGTTGGGGGTTCGAATCCACCAGCAGTCACATGCCGAAGTGTCCCTGGGCAAGACAATGAACCCCTCATTGTCTCCAACTTTGTGTCCCATTGGTGAATGAATGTGATCTAAAGCACCGATTAGGCTCTTTAGAATGATTTGTTCAATTAGCTTTGTAGAGATCTAGTAGAGTGATGTATGAATGGGTAAATGAGGACACAGATTGTAGTGTAAAGCGCTTTGAGTATCTTGATCAGATAGAAAGGCGTAATATAAGCACATTTACTATAAACTTAATTAAAAAAATAAAATCTTGATGGCAGTAATCATATCAGTATTTTTGATTGACGTCCAGCAGTCTGATAGCCGCCCTCAACACCCCGCAGGTTGTGCAATATGTGTGAAATGGTCCAAACTGAGAGAAATGGGAGGGCCAGATGATGCTTCACATGCTGGAGCTGTTTTTGAAAAGGGGAGCGGTGATTTATGCTGGCAAATTGGTTCACTTCTTGTGCTGATAAGCACCTTTCTCTTTTTGTACTCTTCTGCTGCAATGGTCTTTGAAAAGAACTGCTGAAAACCACATTGATGTTTTTGGAGAGGAAAGGAACTGGTTGGGAAGACGACAACAGCAATACCTTGCGATCTACAGCCAAGTGGGTCAGGGGTCAACTTCACAAACTATGGCGTCAACTCTCATCTCACAGGGAGGCTGCACCTCTTTGAATGTTGTAAACTTAATTATGCTGCAGGGCCCAAATTCTGCAGGTGTTTACTTTAAACCAACAGCTTTAACTCTAGACAGGCTGCCGCTGCTTGTTTACTTCAACATGTGCTTCATAAGTTTGATAAGCACAGAGCAGACGTATTCGTGCCTCAGGGAAATTTGGTGGTAATGGAAAAGCTTATCATTGTACAGCTGTTCATATAACAAACCAGGCAGCAAAAAGTAGAAAAATAAAATAAAACCTCACAAACTCGTCAACTCAAACTTCTCAGCTTTGTTCCTGCACAGGAAAACAAATGGAAATGCATCCGCGACAGATGACCCATCAACCAAAACAAGTGAGGGGTTGCGGGGTGGGATGGGGGGTGAGCAGAACCATGATGACGTCTAAGGGAATAATATAAATATATCACGAGATTTAAATTAAGAAAAATCTCATTATTAAGTAAAGGGCACCAAGGCCGGATTTCCTCCTGTTGTTAAACCCCATCTCCATCAGCAAAGTTTGTTTTTAGGAAACACACACACACACGCACGCACGCACGCACGCATGCACGCACACACACACACACTACACCTAAAGGAATCAATAACTTTAAATGTCAGTGATGAAAAGCCGGTTCTGTCCTTCAGTGGATTTTACTTATCAGCAAATGCAGAGGACTCGTTCATGGGAGCTTCCCTTTGTGTTCCAAAGTGAACTAAAGACAACTAAACAAACAAAATAAACTAGTAAATAAACACTTTGTTTATGATCACCACCACAGACATCTTGGGCGATGATTTGTTAAAAAAAATATATATATCATTTTGGACTTGTAATTCTCAGAAACTCCAAGTGCAAGAGTCACTGAGGTGAAGGAGACACTGGAAGTAGGGAAGAAACAAAAACTGGAACCTAACGGAAACTAAACTACATTTGAGCTGGTGCGTTTGCATTCACACTGTACTTGAACCGCGCTGGAGTTTGCTTCTACCGGACTGAGACCTAGGTTTTAGCCCGGGCCAGAGTTCGCCTTTTTGTTCTGTGACAGAGTTCGATGGTGCGTTCACACCTCCCCAAACGAAACGGACTTTCTAGGAAAACGAGCTAGAGTTGATTAAAGCGGACTAAACAGGGCTGGTGTGAATGCACCCTAAGGGGAATGTGTTTATTTCTGCGCAAATGAGTGTATGCATGTGTTCGTTTGTAAGTAAGTCCATGAACACCCAGCTATAGTACCCCACTCCCAGCTATAGTACATGATAAGTGATGGTGCGTATACAAGCATCCGCCTTCACCAAGAGCAGGAAATTAAAGTATCCTGATGCTCCTCTAACATTTAAAAGTATCAAATGTGGAACATTATCAGAGGAAAACTTGTCAGCGATCAGGATTAGGTTCATACAAAGTACTACCTACTACTACTACTACTTTCTAAAACTAAAATTCACAGTATCTTTTTAATTTAATGTAAAACTAAAGGGATTCCTTGAAGCTGACTTGAATAATAACTGACCTGGTGGGCATTTACACATGTGCAGACAGATGCCAACACAGCTGGCTGCAGACTTGCTGACTTCTTTATACGAACAGATGCACACGTCTACACAGAGACACACACATACACACACTTACACATGCTTTTGAGAATATCAAATCATCTGGATGACAGGCGCTGGTGTGTCATACGTCTGACAGCCAATACCAGCCGCAGTGGTTGTTTATGTGCACGTTCCTGTTTATTACAGCCAAACATTTTGAACAAACCTTTTGTGTGATACTCGTCATGTGCAGGTGTATTATCTGGTATGCTGTTGACGGAGGAGAAGTGAGTGCCTTTTGTTTGCAGAAGGAATTTGTCAGACTAATGAGGAAATACTTTTTTCCTCGTCAGATGGAGAAACAAGCCATCTTCGACCCTCAGCTGTGTCACCTGGATTTTCAGACTAACAGTGAAAGTTTGTTGTTGTCATGAAGTTCTCCCAGGATGCACTGCAGATGAACACATTCTGTTTATGGAAATGACATACTGCATGCCACATGTCAATCCTCTGCAAATCCTGCCGTGTTTTATTTGACAGCCACCTCCGAGACCTCATTTGTTCCTGTGACACACAGCATACAGAGAGACGAAACTCTGAGACAAGAAACAAGCAGAAGAGTGTGTGTGATCAAAGTTACATTTTAATATTAACTAGAAAAATTAGATTTTTTTTATTCCACCAAAATCTACACAAAATAATTTGTGTTGCCAAACGCGCAATATCCCCAAATGCCAAAACTGACAGCTCTCCATGGAAACTGTTTGTATGCTGTTGGTCAACATTATTGAAAGTTAACTAATGAATCAAATGCAGCAGTCATGTATAGAAAACATACATATTGCAGTTTGAGAACATTGTATTGAATCTAAAATGTTAGGCTACCGCATCTGAATGTAACGTGCATCAAAGCACTCACAGAGACATAAACAGCAGCTGAAACCACCACAGTGAGCTCATCTCAGCTCCACATCCAGCTCACTTCATTTCATGAATTTTAATGTCATTTTCCACTCGGTGCGGAGCGACACACACTGAGGTAGATCTCGCACTTTGGATCAACATGAAATATCCTCCTGCATATCCCGAGGCTGACCTCTCACTGATACCGTGTAATTATTTTTACTCTACACAGCAGAGCGCCTGTTGAGACAAATAAAACACGTCATTAACAATAACTTTCTAAAACTCAGGATTGAATTTAGGCCAGTGGCGTTGACAAAAATGAATAATTGTGTTTTAAATTTCGGTCATGTCACAGTTTCAAGCAGCAGGCTGCCCTTTGGCTGCGTTGCTGTAAAGCAGGGGTGTCAAACCCACTTACAAAAGCAAGCCAAAATTAAAACCTTTTTCAAACTAAGGGCCGGTTTCAGAATCGACATTAACTCCAGTTAGATACCCAACATATTTTCTTGGTTGCAGGTTCCTCATCAAGAGTTTGATTGGTCTCATTTGATGTTCTCTGTTGCACTTTTGACATCATAATCAAAGATTACTGAAATAAATTAAAGTGATAAAAGTATTTTACATTTGAAATATCATCTTGGGGGCCAGATGTCAACGAGGGCCACGTTTGCCCCCCCCCGGGCCTCAAGTTTGACACATATGCTGTAAAGGAACCGAGTGTTGAACTTCACTGAAAGACATTCATAGAATGCATATTTGTTTTTATATCTGGTTGAAGCAGATGACCACTCGTCCTGAGCCTGGTCCTGCTGGAGGTTTCTTCCTGTTAAAAGTGAGTTTTCCTTTCCACTGTTGCCTTTGTGCTTGCTCAGGATAAGAGACTGCGACGAAGTGAAGATTCAACACAATTCGCTGGCTTCCTTAGATAGGTTTTACTAATAGGCTAATTTTATAAATTATGTGAATGTTTCTGTTCAGTGCCCTGAGACGACTTCTGTTGTGACTTGGTGCTATAGAAATAAACTGAACTGAAATGAATTATGGGTGGCATCGTGGCTCAGTTGGTAGAGCTGTTGCCTCTCAGCGAGAAGGTCACCGGTTCAAATCCCAGCCCAGGACCTTTCTGGGTGGAGTTTGCATGTTCTCTCCGTGCATGCGTGGGTTTTCTCCGTGTACTCCGGTTTCCTCCCACAGACCAAAAACATGCATGTTAGACCGATTGGTAACTCTAAATTGTCCATAGGTGTGAGTGAGAAAGTGAGTGGTTGCCTCAGTCCTGTGATGGACTGGAGACCTGTCCAGGCTCCTCCCACAGTGACTGCTGGACATGAGCGCCAGTAACCCCCACGACCCGGAAAGAAAGAAGCAGGTAAAGATAATGGATGGATGAACTGAATTATATTCTGAGGCTCATTTAACATTTATTTTGTTTGATTTTGTTAAAAAAAAAAAAAATCACATCAATCCTTTACACAGATTTTTAGTTTAAACTGTAGACTGTTCATATTACCAGACCAAGTGTTTCTGCCTTCTCTTGTTAGGAATTAAAGTCATCAGGCCCCGGTTAAAGGGAGCTGCCATTTTGCATGTGTGGAAAGATGAGTCTGCACACTAAGGATGTGAGTCTTCAAGTCCCATCTACTTCCCCACACACAGTGACCTTTCTTTGAACCATGAAAGAACTACTTACAACAAAACTCATTAAACAGTGGATATTTGATCATGCAGCAGCAAGGCAGAAACTATGAATCAACACGAGTCGATAACTTAAAAAGATACTAGCTGGTGTGTGTTTTTGTTTTATTTCACCAGGTGCAATGTTCTGTTCATTTACAGGGAGAAGGTGGGACTTAAAACTTACAGAGAAGCCGTTCCCATTCTCGCTTCAATTTCCAGGTTCCGGTTCGAAGTCTAGGTAGTCGCAGTCTTTGGTTTAAACCTTCAGTCACCTCATGAACCTTCTTCTGATTCTGATCAGCTCCTTTACGTCCTAATCAGCCAGACTTTGACTCGTAATAATTAAAGTTCGCATCTTCCTGGACACTACCTAAAATATCAAGATTTGATTCAAAACACATCAGAAAACAGCGACAACAGACTAAACAGACGGTTTGGATGTTAAGATGGAATGAAAAGTAGCAGAATCCCATAATCACACGAACAAAAGAAAACACAAAAAAAGCCCCCTTAAGGCACTTGAACCAGTCTTGGATGTTTTTTCAACTTGAAGACTAGAAATAACTTTGATAACACAAACAGATGACTTATAAGGATAAAAGCACCAGTTGCTGCAAGTGCCTTCAACAGATCGACTCTGCTTTCTTAGGACATGTGTTAAAAGTGTTTTCTCTGCAGAAAAGCACTAAAAGGAGACAGGAAACTCTTCATCTCTACTCCTTATCAAACGTGAAAGCTGACAACCCACATTTACCGTCAACATTCAGTGCGTGCCCATTCAGCTTCGAAACACTGATGTTTGTGTTGACGCTGGCTGGTTTCTGTGCATGTTCAAGGCAGTTGCGCTCCTCATCAAGACGAAAAACAAAAGTCTGCTGCAGCCATTTACAGATTTTCTTGGAAATGTTCCGTCTCCAGCATGTGTTTAAGTGTGAGCATTGATCCTACCTGGCTGTAACTGTTGGATGGACTTGAAACTTTTAATATGTGTATGACTGCCCTGGTGCACCCATGTGTGGCCCCATCTTTACTTCTAAACGTCATTACACTGTTATTGCCCTTGCGGCGCTTCATAACATCTCTCTCACTGCCTCAGTTAGAAGTAGAGATGCTTCTTCAACTTGTTTCTATCTTAAAAAAAAAAAAAGTGCAGAAAAAGCTGCAAACTGAGAAACATGAGGGTGATTCTAGTGATTCAGTCCTCCCAAAGGGCTTTTATTAATTCAGGAGAAAAAGCCGTCTAAGCGGAAAATTGTACCTTTTATCTCCTGCTTCTTCATTAAAACCCAGTGAGGAGGACAGGCAAGTTTTCGAAATGTTCTAATAATTATGTGGAAACAGAAAGCTTATTTTCCTTCAGAGCTTTCACTCAGAAATAGTCCGGATAGAGACGAGAGCCTTGGGTTTCCTCTTGGACGTCACAGCTCAGTTTCAGTTCAGATGACTCCGTAGTCCCTTAGAGACTTGAGCAACACAGTGTCCTTGACATCGGTGAAGACCTTGCGTATGTTGTTGGTGTCAGTGGCACAGGTGAAGTGTGGGTACAGAGTCTTCCACTCGTTCTTGTTTTCAGGGTTGATGGCCCGCTGCTCGTACATTTTTAGGATGTACTGCTGTGCTTCCTGGACATTTTGCTTCTTTCCTGTAAGGTGAACATGAGAGATAAAGGAACTGAATAAAAATATACAGGTTGGTAAAGATTGATTTTTTTTTAATGTTTACCATTTGGTAAAATAATTATTTTCAACATGGATTCAAGCGTCGAACAAAATGCTTGTTACCCAGGTGCTGGTTTAGCCCAGCAACTCAAAGTAATAATGTAATAATTTTTTAGAATTAAATAAATAAAAGTAAAATAGAAAGGTAGAATAAATATTCAGCATTCAAATAAATATCAGCAGTAAAATAAGCAGTAGTAAAAAAGCAGCAGCGCTACAGAGCCTCATCAGAGTTCAGCATCCCAACAGTGTCTGGGTAGAAGCTGTTCCTCAATCTGGTGGTCCTGGAGGACCACAGCCTTCTGGCTGAAGGGATGGGGATGATGGGTGTATGCGTGGGGTGAGGAGGGTTTTTCCTGATGCAGGAGGCCCTTCTCTGAATGTGTAAATGGTTGACTGTGTCCTCTGTGCAGTCTTAACCACCCTCTGCAGAGCCTTCTTCTCAGCCACAGAGCAGCTGCCGTACCACACGATGATGTCCCAAGACCTGTACACCTCAGCTGACTGAGGAAATAGATGCTTGTGTGCCTTCTTTACCAGGCTGGAAGTGCTGTTACTCCGGGTAAGGTCATCACTTGGGTGAATGCACTGAAGCTCGACACCACTTCCATCAGTGTTCCTCTAATCAGGGAAGGGGTGTGTGTTGGTGTCTGCCTTTCCTGACATCTGCAATCAACTCCTCAGTCTTCTTTATGTTGATGGAAAGGTCATTTCTTTGAACCAACCCTCTAGACCAGGGGTGTCAAACCCACTTACAAAAGGGGGCAAAAATTAAAACCTTTTTCAAACCAAGCCCCAATTTCAGAATGTATATCTACTCAAGTTAAATACCCAACATATTATCTTGGTTGCAGGTTCCTCAACAAAAGTTTGATTGGTCTCATTTTACGTTCTCTGCTGCACTTTTGACATCATAATCAAATATTACTGAAAAAAACAAAGTGATAAAAGTATTTTACATTTAAAATAACATCTTGGGGGCCAGATAAGATGTCAACAAGGGCCACATCACATTTAGCCCCCGGGCCTAGAGTTTGACACATATGCTCTAGATGACCTGCTGTTTGTAGCCAGTTTCATTGTAGTTGGTAATGCATCCACAAACTTCACAGTAAAAGTTCACATTTTGTTGAACAGTCATACATGAGCATGGTGAACAAAAGGGGGCTCAGCACACAGCCCTGAGGGGACACAGTGATAAGGGTGATGGGGAGGGAAGAGATATTATGGATCCTCACTGTCTGAAGTCTGTCCATCAGGAAGTCCTGGACCCAGTTGCAGAGGGAGTAACCAAGCCAGAGTGTTGACAGTTTCTAGACCAGGGTCTGCAGTAAGATGGTGTTGAAGGCAGATGTGAAGTCAACAACAACAGGCGGACATGAGTTCTTGCTCTCCAGATGGGTGAGAGTTGTATAAACCACAAAGGAGAGTAAGCATGCTGGTGTGGATCTACAGTGACTTTGATGGAGTAGTTGATGTGGGCCATAACCAGTCTCTCAAAGCGAAACTACAGGCCAATAGTCATTCAGGCTCATCACCGTGGAGCTTTTGGGGACAGGGATGATAGTTGCGGTTAGTAGAGACAGCTGCTAGCACCTCAGAGAATTGATGTGCAAAGTCTCTCAGCAATCTCCCAGGAATGTTCTCATCTTTGTGAGGGTTAACTCTCGGAAAAGTCATCCTCACTTTAAAGACTAAAGCAGTAAATTATAGTCACCATACAAGACTTGTACTTAGCTGAGTAATCAAACATAACATCTCGCCACTGTTGAAACTGTTTTACTTTTTCTTTTTTTTAAATATTAAAGTAATTGTTACTAGGTAACAAAAATAAGAACCACAGCTATTAAGTGCCGATAATGTCAATTAAATTGTTTTAAGTTTCAGGTCTTTATTTAGATTTACATTTTAAAGTAAAATGGTAATCTACTTCTGGATTTTTTAAATTTTTTTCTTATTTAAATGTAAATAATAAATGAAATATTTGACTTGTTTTGTACACGTTTTTATGATCATCTTCCATCTGTGGTTAAGTGTTTGTTGGTTACTTTTAGAGGTCAAAATTACCCAATAAGCATTGGATAAAGATTGTGCTTTGGTTCTAATTACACTAAATGCCCACATCTTTAGATTAGCTTTAATTCTAACCCTCATGACATTTGAAAGCATACTTATCAAAGTCAAAGCCATTTGTAACAAAACCTTGGAAGCCTAACTTTGGCCTAGTTCTTTTAATTTTATTTCATTTAGTGACTACTTTATTGCAGTTTACCAGAATCTACTCTAAAAATCACTATTTGCAGTCCTGCTTTTTAAATGGAGTTGCAATGAATGATTCTTAACCCATAACCACAAAAGTCGTACAAGGACACAGCTTAGGTGCACAGGACAACTTTATGAGTCAATCCACATTTCCCCCTCATTTTACAGAGACCTGAGCATTCAGAAGTGCTTGATCCATTTTTGGAAATGTGTAAACAGTGGCTAGAATTATTTCCTAACAATATAATCATCCCTAATTACTTTAGAACTATTTTAATTCAGTTTCTCTCCTTTCAAAAACAGCACCAGGCTCCAGGGCTACTTAACAGCCGCAGCCTTCAAATGCAGTTACAGTGGCAGTAATAAGGGCCACACAGCCCCCACACAGGAACACAACAACATTAGCAGCAAACAGCAGCCGGTGGTCGGAGCTGCTCCGAGTCGTCATTAAGGTTAAATTGACATCAAGAAGCTTGACCCTGTGTGTGTCATTATTTTACCCAGCTAATGCTGGTGGTGAAGCACTGTGGGTGCACTGCAGATACACACACACGATACAAATGTTCGCTTCCAGTCACTGAACAACTCCCCCCCACCCCGACTGCGCCACAAGTACACACAGCTCATATATGAACACCTGAGGGTATTCAGGTGGGGGTGCAAGGCTTACAGGGAGCAAAGGATCTGTCTGTAGTTGCCATGGGTAACAGAGGGAGAGAGGTGTGTGTGGGGTGGGGGAAGGAGGGGTGGGAGACCAATGGGTTGGGGTAAAGAAGGAAGAACTACAGAAGGCTGGATTAATTTATGACTGAAGGTGGATGGATGGATGGATGATGGAAGGACAAAAGTGAGGGAGGGAAGGCAGGAAGAAGAAACAAAGAAGATGTGACGCATGCTTAATAATGGTGAATGGATTGTACTTCTATAGCGCCTTTCTATCTAATCGAGACACTCAAAGCTCTGTACAACACACTCTGTGTCCTCCTTGACCTCCACACACACATTCATACAGCTCTCTACCACATCCCTACAAAGACGATCTGAATTTGTAGAGACTAATCAGTACTTTATCACATTCATACACCGATGGGACACACATCAGAGGCAATGAGGGGTGCAGTGTCTTGCCCAGGGACACTTCAGCATGTGACTGCTGGTGGAATCAAACCCCCAACTCTCCCATTGGAGGACGACCGCTCTAACCACTCAGCCACAGCTGCCTCCAATAATCCAGGTAGATCAATCTAACAAGTCCGGTCCTTCACACAGATTCTTCTTTGTTGAAACCTTTTGTCTTTTACCCAAAAGACTTCTTCAGTCTGAGGAGCTGCAAGCAAACAGTCTTATTCAATTCAATTCAAAAATACTTTATTAATCCCAGAGGGAAATTATTTTGTTGTTTTAACTCGTTATCCTCATTTCATTAAGAGATGTTATAGATGCTGATGGCTGTAGGCAGGAAGGATCTCTTGTAAAGGTCCATCTCACAGTGGATCCTAATAAACTGGCTGCAGATGCCGTCCGATCTGTCCACCCAGACTCGGCTGGCCTCTTGGTTCCCCTGGACTGTAGGACCGCTTGAATGCTGGGCAGAACTCCTCCCAGAGCGATGGCCACTCCTCCCAGAAGTCTGCCGAGCTCCTCATAGCTGCGGACAGCCAACTGTAGGTGCTGAGGGACGATCCTGCTCTTCCGCTGTCGTGAGCCATGTTTCCTGCTAGTTCCAGGATCTCAGTGGTCAGGCACTCGAGCACAGCTGGCAGGTAGATGAGAACGCGTCCATAGAACATCCTTTTCAACTCATTTGAGAGTTGGGGCCATAGTTGAGATATTATTTCAGCTTTTGAGATGTTATTCAGCTGTAAAGATGTTTATCAGTAGATCTTTCAGTTAACTGGTGACAGCCAAAACTATCTGTTCACAAAGGAGGACCATAAGCCTAACGATCAATTATTAGGCTGCACCAGCCTGCTCACCAGCAGAAGAACCACTTGCTCCTGTCACTTCACCACTTGCTCTTGTCAAGGGTGGACATTTCCCTCTCCTCCTCCTCCTCCTCTGCTTTGCTTTGCTCGGTCCTGTCTGTGAACCTGCTTCAGAGCCTCTCTACATATCTTACGAAATGTAAATTTTTGCTATGGATCTAGTCAGTTGGTCTCTCAATGTAATTGATAAAATTTTCTCGACGAGAAAAGCTTCAGGCGAGCAGACTTTTTTCGACGAGAAGGCCAGCACCAATGATGCATATACATTTGGATTTATAACTGGTTTTCTGCTTTTTGGATTCGGCTGGTTCCTGGTCTATCAACAAACAAGGAAGTTTGTCAGCAGCAAATTTGGCCCTGGTCAGACTGCCTGCGTCTGTCCACTTAATTTGGACGTTTGGGATTCAAGAGGACCAGCAAAGACTCAAGGCAGACGAATCCGTAAAGTTCTGCCTGTTCCCAAAACAATTGTTGCTCATCTGAATTCAGCTCCCCGGCTAGCTTTGACTGGCCACCTTACCTCAATTCGCCTGGAGGCCCTGTAAATCGACGCCCCCCCCCCCCCTTTCCCTCCCACCAATGAAGTCTGCGGACCTATCAGAGGGACCCAGCTGAATAAACATTGCGTCATCATTTCAGGGCTCTCGAATTCTCTCTCTAGCACAGATCCAGGTCGACCTTGGTGCGAGAGTGTTTATGGATCTCACCAGAGGGAACTGACTGATGGTACCATTCTTATCAGAACTCTTACAGTGCCTCTAGAGTGTACTTGACACAATCACCGCTCTTGTCCTCTCCCCTTCCCTGCAGAATGTCTACGTCACTATGTGCCTATGTGTGGGGTGTTTTTTCAATATCAGGGTCTTTCTCCTCGGCCAAGGACAAAGAGTTCGATAGGAATTTTTTTGCCTCCAAATCCTATGCATGTGTCACTTTCATTACTTTTTTGTCTGTCTAAGCAGGCCTCACATGTAAATGAGTCTTTGAGGCTCAATGTGATTTATCCATCTAAATAGAGGTTGAATGAACGAAAAAAAAAAGGAAGAGCAAAACATACTCATTATCCCAGTGGTTAGATAGAGCAGTTTGTAAACCAGAGGTTCTGCAAAAACTCACACTCTTTAGTCTTAAGGTTCAGAGGGTTCAACAATAAAAGATTGGTAAAAAAAATGTTGTACAATCTGTAGCCCGAATACTACAGTTCTGGAGAAAATGTCTATAGGTCCTTACCCTACTTTCATCATAGGAAGAAAAATATAGCATATGCTCTCAACTAGAGCTGACCAGACCAGAAAAAAAAACCACCAGGAGTCACTGAACAGCTTCTAGAAAACCCTGCAGAACCAGTGTACAAAGTCTGTGCTACAGATTATTACCCATCAGAACTCATCCCCTGTAGGACAGCAGCCATATCCATTTATAATTAGATGGACAAACGGGCAGACAGACCTTATTGATCCCAAAGAATATTAATGGAATCCACTGATAAAGCCACAATGTGTAATTCCATACAGCAGCAGCTAACCATCATAAAAGTAAAAAATATTAAAAAGGCAGAAAATATACCATGAAAATCATAAAAAGCCAGTGCAATGGGTACAGGGTGTTTCTTGTCCCAGCCAGCATCACCTTCCCCACTTATCCCCATAAAGACTCTGGAGACAAAAAGTTTTTCAGTCTATCCATGGAGAATCGCTGTGAAAGCAGACTACCACTGAATGTGCACCACTGGCATTGATGCACAATTATAGGGTAGTACCTCACTGGGGTGGCTACTAAAATTGCAAGAATATTCCAAAACAATGAACTTTTTTTTTTTTTTTTTTTTGCATTCTCAGAGTTTTGAGTGTCTGTAACCAGCAAGTTGTGCTGCCGCATTTTGAGCATCCAAGTTTTGATATTCAGTTTGTTTTTGTGTTTTGCCAACTTCCACTTACATCTTACATACCCATATCAGTCTGCATGTTAGCAGACTCTCCTCATTCATGATTTAAAATACCAGAGTACACTTTTGACATGAAGATGGGCAGACTCAGACCAGGTTTTCAGTGTTATTTTACTATAGGAAGTGGGTTTTAAACCTGAACACTCAGAGCTGTGTTTTCTGTAAAATGTTTTCTGTCGAACGAGAACTCCCATGTAGGCGTCAGAATTCAGAATACAGCTCTAGAATTTAAGGTTTGATGTGATGACTATTTTTATGAAGAATTTCTTATTTTGAGCTAGTTTAAAATTCAAGCAACAAGGCTGTGAGTTCCAGTCTCTCACAAGGAAACCGAGAACCTCTGCGAACATTTCAAGACACTTTAAAGACTCATTTTAAATGCCATTCACAACTAGAGAAGTTGCATTTCCTGCAAAAATGCAGTTGTTGCTGAAGAACTTGCTGAAAAACAGCTGAAATTACAGTAGATAAAAAGAGCTGAAATTAGATTAAAAAAAAAACATGTTGAAATGTTGCTGAAATTGAAAAGTCTAAGTTAGCAGAATAAAGAAGAAAGAACACATATTTTCTAAATTGGATTTAAATCAGCAGAAATTATCACGAAAATTAGGAAATTACTAAAAAAAAGCTGAAATTAGCCAAAAGTAGCTGAAAAGGCAAAAATAAGCTTAAACCACCAGGAGGAAGTGAAAAGAGCTTCAATGAACTAAAAAAAGTGGCATTAGTTGAAAAAGCTAAATTTAGAACAAAACAGCTAAAAAGTAGCTGAAATAGCAGAAAAAGCTGAAATTAGAAGGAAAAAAAACTGCAAGGAGCTGAAATTAGCAGAAAGAAGTTAATTAGGCTGAAAGTTGCATAAATTACCAAAAATAACTTGAATATATCTGAAAACAGCTGAAACCAACTAAAATGCAAAAATGCAAAAAAAAAAAAAGGTAGACAAAGCTTAAATTAGTAGAAGAAAGCAGAAGTAACGCATTTACTCAATTAGAAGAAGAAGCAGAAATGAGTACTAAAAAGTGTATATTATCTGAAAAAAGCTGAAATTAGCAAAAACTGCTGAAAAGTAGCTAAAATTTTCAAAAAGAAGCTTAAATTACCAGAAGGAAGTGGGGAGAGCATATTTTTGCTGAATTAGGCTGAAAAAAGTTGAAATGAGTGCAAAAAATGTGGAATTAGCCAAAAAAGCTAAATTAACATACAGCTAAATAGTTGCTGAAATAGCAGAAAAAGCTGAAACTTTCAGCAATAAGCTGAAAGGAGCATAAGAAGCTGAAATGGTAGAAACAAGTTAGAAGAAGCACAAAAATGTTGTAGTTAGCAGAATCTGAAAGGAGCACAAAGCAGCAGGAAAAACAGCTTAAATTTGCTGAAAGTAGTTGGAAAAAAGTTTAAATTTGCACAAGCAAGCTGAAAGAAGCAGAAGCAAAACAAAATGTGAAAAGAGCAGTAAATGGTTGTAACAGCTCTAAAGATCTGAAGGATGTAAAATGAGCTCAATTCATTTTCTATGAGAAAAAAAAGTGGCAGAAAATGTTAAACAGTTTAAAAAGCTGCACCAATACTAAAAGTCAGAGCACCCTTCCTTGAGCGAGCTGAATGTTTTGATGTACGATTTGTTGAAACGGCACAAAAATTGTGGAACGAGAAATATGCGGAAAAATGTACGGAAGAAAAATGAATCACAATAGTGAGAATGCTTCATAAACAGTCACACAGCCAAGCTGCCAACAGTCCTTTTAGCTTCCACCTTCTCCAGCATGTTGTCCCAATAATTTCTGAACATGTTCACTTCTGAGCCATATTTCTAAAACTATAGGATTTCACCAAAGTGATGCGCCATAAAGGAATATTTCACTTGGTAAAGATATTTTAGGGGAAATATTGCAATTTTTCCTCTGGGTGTGGTCAGATGGACATGTGCTCACAATAACTGGAAGGATAAAAACAAGGTCACAGCCTTTGAGTTCCTGCAGTGATTCTGACCACTCTGTGATGAAAATAATCACATGCAACTGTGCTTGTTGATGACAGTGAAATTGACTGAAACCAGGCCCTGACTCAGACATGTTGCAATATTTCCTTAGAAAATTTGAACATGATGTTGAACATCTTCTACCAAAGTGATGTGCCAGTTCAGAAAATTCAAACTCGTGTTTCCAATAATTCCCCCACACATGATTCGCAAGTTAATTTACCACAGCTGTTTTCAGGTGGTGAATCTGCAGTTTTGTAATTTAAACAGTATTTTATTGAACTAATTAAAAATAAATTGTCAATGTATGTATCAGTAAAACATCTAGTTTTGCCTTTCTTAGTTTTCCTTAACTTCAGACACCAACACTAGAAAGGAAGCAGGGTTTCAAAGAGCAAGGCTAACAAGCTAACGCTTAATGTTTTAATATCAATTAACACAAGTGAAAGTTGTTTTTTGTGTGAGTGAATTCATACTAGTGCATTTACTTTAATTTTAAAATACTTGCACTGAAACTGAATTGCTCAGAAGTTTATTGTACAACCTCAAATTATATTTCTACTCTATCTGCACTATTTTATTTGTTTCATTATTTACTATGTGGAAATGTTTCACTGCTAATGTTAGCAATAAAATTAAAACAAAACATATATCGGGTTAGTTAACCTGAGAAACCGGGGAAGTATTTGTTCAGGTCTGAGGTTCGGATCTTGTCAGCCAGGATGTCAGTCTTGTTGAGGAAGAGGATGATGGAAGTGTACTGGAACCAGACAGAATGGATGGTGGTGGAAAACAGAGCCAGACTCTCAATCATACGGTTCTGAGGATGACACAGAGACATATTTGTGCATTAGCTTTCTTTAAAAACAACAAAATGTAATATATTGCCATGGCTCTGAGACAAATTTATTTTTACCAGTAGACAAAAATCATGACGTTTAATGGATGGTGAAGTGTTTTTAAATCAGCTGAGGATCGAAGGAGCTGGAGGAAACAGGCTTTTCAGGAGAGAACAGATTATGAAGGCTCTTGAGCAAAGTGACCAACGGTGAGGTTAATGAATGCAAGGGGAGAGCAAAAAGTGTCTGGGAAAGATAAACAGCTTACTGACAGGATGGGAGGGAGGAGGAGGGCAGCAAGAGACTTGGAGGAGAGCAGAAAGTGACAAAATAACTTGTACAAGAGCGAAACCTGCTGGTGGGAAAAATTAATTACTGAATGAAGGGATGGCGGCAAATAAATACAGAATGCAGATCAAAACAGATACAGATTTTGGCCAATACAGTAAAACACTATGGATTTACTTCACTATATTAAATACTATATTTTATATGTTCTTCACTATATTATCTTGGCAAGCCAGGAATCATTAAAGCTCAAGTCTACCATGAACTGAGAACTGCTGGAACAGCAGTGAATGTCCACAGCACTGAGAGGGTGCTGAACAAGAAAGAAACCTCTTCTCCTAAAGTGTCACAGTCAACCTGGCTGAATGAGCCAAATGATTTCTGTAAAAGTTTTATTGTCAGACGACACAAATATTGAGCTTTTGGTCACAATATCAAGACGTATGTTTGGAGAAGTGAAGACGAGGCTGTGAAACAAAAGAAAACTGGACCAACTATCAAGCACAGTAGTGGCAGCATCATGTTGTGGTGATGGTGCTTTACATAAAGTGGATGGAATAACGAAGAAAGAAGTCTATCTCCTAATTCTTCAACTTCCCCTCAGAGCACCAGCTTGAAGGTGGAAAGTTGATGGAAATTATTGGTTTGGTGTTCCAAGATGACCGTGACCCAAACAAACATCACATTTTATTATTTTTATTATTATTATTATTATTATTATTATTATTATTATTATTATTATT